AAATTAGGAATTTAATTTGTCAGGATTTTGTGTATTGGGATTTTGTTGCTGGGATTTTGTGTGTCAGGATTTTGTGTGTCGGGATTCTGATATACAACCGTTCTCAATTAATAGGTAGGGTAGTTAAACAAAATTGTTAAATAGGAGTAGTTTTGCTAACCCAATAAATATCCATCTGTATAATATAAACATATCCTGTTAGAAAATAACCTGGTTCTCATGTATCTGGAGACTAAATATCCCAAGATAATAATAAAAGATGTAGTAGAGATACGTGATTTTTCACCTTTTTGATCTCAAATAAATTAAATCACATATTGTCAGATAACTTTCTATTAGATAAGAGTTTATACCAAACAACTAACTCGAAATTATTTTTGTGTACAACCTTATGATAATAACATAAAAGATTATCTGAATAAGTATCAAATATATTCCACCAATCATCATTAACTATTTTATTTTTTTTATCTTCATCTTCATAGATAAAATTACTATCTTTATCTAATTTAAAAATGATTCTGTTTAAAAACTTTTGTCGTTCAGTATAATTTGTAAAGTATAATTGTATAAATTTAAATTTGGTTCCTAAATCAAATAGTTGTACAGATTCAAGCATTTAATAATATTTTGGTGATAAATCAAAATCCAAGAAACAATTGAGATAATAACTGAAATTGTATGAATCGGTAAGCTTAATATCAAAAAATGAATCACCAACATCAATATCGAGAAAAAGATTAGTTCCATTTTTATGAACTGCATTTATAGAAAGAATATATTTCTTTTTCTTGATGAAAGAATCTGTTGCATTGTATATAAAAAAATATTGTGAATTAGAATTGGAAAAGATTAAATCTTGATGCGTAATATTCATTGTATAAAGATATGTAAATAGATTTTTAGTTGGTACAAAATATACTAAAAAATATAGATTAAAAAAAGAAATAATGAAAAAATAAAATAAAAAAAAATGAGACTTAAATATTAAATTAAAAATGAGATTTGAAAATATTAACATATTGATCAATTTCACATTTAGTTGATATTTCAATTTTCTCAGAATATAATTTGTCAATCATCTTCTTGTACAAATTATAAATTTTTAACAAATAATTTTTGTCAACCATTTCAAAATCACGATTTTTAAGTCATCTTTTCTCTTGCTGTTCAAACATCATTTTGGCTGTGGATTTGATATAAAAAATCTTGTCAACATTATTAATTTGGGAAATTTTTTGTCTTTGTTCTTCCAAATAGGTTAAAATATCATCATCATCAATATTTGCTACAGTAAATACTTCAGTATTAATATAAGTTCTATCAAGAATTATGTAATCGAACTTGTTAATTTATTTAACTTTTCAACCTAATTTTTATAATAATTAAGGATGATGTATTGAAAAAATAAAGCATATTTTTCTGGATCTTTGTAAAACAATTTGAGTTCTGGTTCAAGATCGAGAGATGCTTCAAGAGACTTGTAGACCATGAAACCTTTTTCACATAGAAAATTAACTACAACATTGCTAAATGTTGTTTTTCTAACACCAATCATACAAGTGAAAATGATGATTTTTGGTTTGGTCTTGATACATTTTTTGGTTTTAACAATTTGGTTAGAATATCTTCTTTTCAATTATTTTAACATTTTATATTCAACCTTATTATCATAATCTGGTTAAAACAAATTAATCACAGTTTTCTTTTCTTTTTGTAATCTTGAGAGAAAATATAGTGTATTGTTTCAAATAAAAATTGAGGAATGATTTTATATTTGGATTTTTTATTTACAGTTTTGAAAAGAATTTTTATATTATTCTCAATCTTGGATAAATAAACATTAATTTTTTTATTCATTGTTAAAGAAATAGGTACATAATTAAAAAACTATTCAGTTATATGACTAAATAGTTGTTAAATATTTATAAGAATAATTAATAAGGAGTAAAATGTTGATTAAACTGTTTAATTACAATTTTTTTAATAAACACATTATTGCTCTTAACTCCCTCAAATTCAAATTTTTCTGCTGTAAAGTCAAATAATTCTAATTGAGGATAAGAATATTCATTGTTATAATATTTTTTTAATAATGTTACAAATTTCAGTTTCATTACAAACTTTTATAAAATGCTCAGAAGATTCTAACTATTTTTTTACTTTTGGGATAATAGAGTTATTAGTTTTTTTTTGTTTATTATAAACAATGAATCTAAATAGATTATTGTATCAAGAAATTGCTAATTCATAATTTCGTACAATATTAACAGTGATAGCAGATTTGACACTTTTGTTTTGGATTAAGATTGTGTTTTTCTTGTACATAGCAATAATATTGATCTCTTATCTCTTTGTGTAACTTTAATTTCATTAGCCAAAATCGCATTTGATTCAAATATTTTTTGAAGCACAGCTTCGAAATCATGCCCAGATTTGTAATTAGAAACCTGATATAATAAAATGATATTAGCAAATATTTCTATTTATCAATGTTTGCAAAAGATCCTATTTAAAGATATAACTTTGTCATTCTTTCAGTTTCTCCCAGATTAATAGAAATAATCATCATTATAACAATAAATAAAATATTGATATAAATTCATAATTAATTTAAAATCTGGTATGACAGCGTAGCTTCAGAATCGCATATATGTTAAGTAAAATGGCACCGCCAAATTACCTTTTTCCTAGGAGTTTTGATAATAAAATTGCTTACAAAAGGAGTAGCCAATTTGGTTACATAATTAAATTTCTATTCTATACAAATATACTGAATAAAAAAATAATTTCATTAGAATTAGTAACTATTGCAATTTCAAGTAATCTTATCATGAGCTAATTTGAAATCTATACATTGTTGTTTTGCTTGTTCAAAAGTTCTATTATTAGTAATAAAAATCTTTTCAATTTATATTTATTATTTTTATGCTACTTAAATCTCCAAGCATTCAAATATTTATCAAAACAAACTCTATTTATTCCACTAGTATTATGTTTGAATAATTTACAATTTAAAGCATTTTCTCTATAATTAGTTTCTTAAAGATTAATTTCATGATTATCTATCCATTTCAATTAATATAATTAATTATTATTTTTTATTCTGAAATAATAAACGATAAAACAACTTAAGTTTTCTATTAATTTTAAAAGAAATATAATGCATATTAGTTGTTTTTGGTTTTCAACAAAACCAAATATAATTTTTGATAAGATTTAGATATTTTAAATTTGTGAGAAATGTGATTTCTGGTTTCTGAGTTTGAACTTCGAGATATAGATAATAATCAATTTTTACAATGTAGAAAAATTTAACTTGAGATGTGGATTCTTGAGATTTTTGTATTTGCACTATCGAGTGACAGGAGTAAAACTTTAATTTTTTTTAGCCAATCAGACATGATTATGTAAATAAAATTTTACTCAGTATAATAAATAGTTTTTAACTATTTTTAACCAGGGGTGATTTAGCCACCTCTATTAAAATTTAGAGTTAGGGTACAGTTTTAGAATTTTTTTTTATATATATATAATATAATATGGTTGTATATCAGAATCCCGACATACAAAATCCTGACACACAAAATCCCGGCAACAAAATCCCAATACACAAAATC